TTGAATACTTCTGCGTGTAGTCTGTATTTAAGAAATATATTAAGCTTTTTGTGTGCTACCTAGGGTCTAGCATTTAAAATTTTTAGAGATATGGATAATAAACTATTTACCTTAAGATAATAATTAAATTTAATATTATTAATATAGTCAGTAGATATAAAAGGGCTTTTATACATGAAGTAATTTTTTTAAACTGTTTTCTATTGCTTTTTTGCTAAGAAAATCAGCAGAGGAGTGATCTAAACTATATGACCTGGATTGAAGAGAGGCTTACATACTTTAAGCATCTAAATCTGAATTTAATTTATATTGAATCCCAGTATTTGAAGCTAGGTAGGATTTTAATAGTATCATTTTGTCATCATTCAGATTTATGATGTGAGAATGTAATTTTGTTTTTAAATGGAGAGGCTTTTTTGACTAAAATGTACTACGGGGTATTGTACTACAGGGTGATCTCAGCATCCAGTTTTGTTTTTTATTTGATAGAGTATAGAGAATCCTGATTCAGCCACATAAGTAAAACTTTTAATTGGAGCAATTAATAGAAATTTCATGTGTGTTCTTTTTGTCTTGAATTAAACCAAACCAAAGACTTAAAAGAGGAATAAGAGGAAATTTGCTTTAAAGTATCTAACAAATACTCTCTATCAGAGTTTAAAATTCAGACAAGAATCATCAAAAATCTAGAATAATTTATTCTGAAATTTGGAATAATGACTAAAATTATAATAATGCCTTGTGTTTGCATCAGCTGACCTTTCAGTACAAATAGAGTTTTTGTTGGTTTTAAACACACAAATGTTTGTGTATTCTTATCTCTCATTATGATTTAAAAAATGCTTCATAATACTTATTTATTTTGAAGTATTTTCACAATCCCTGGAGCACCTTCACAGAATCTGAAATCTTTTGACTACAGTATCTCAATTGAACTTTTAGTTTATGAGTTCAGTTTTTGAGAACTGGTTCACCTGAAAAAAAGTTTGAAAAATTATTCATTCTAGGCTTTCTCTGTCTTAAATACTGAATCTATTAGTCCTAGCACTAGTAAGTGGTAGAGGCTGGTTTGAGCCCAGATCTTCTACCTGTATGTCCAGAATTCAGTTGCACATATCCTAGGACAGGGTAAATAAATTTAAATTTGATTTTGTGGTAGTACTTAGGCATATTTTTAGTGTTTATTTTCAAGGCTGGGTCACGTACAACTTATGTAACAATTCTATTCTTCTTTGAAATTTCCAGAAGGATGGTATTTGTCTATATAGATTTCTTTTATAATCTTCTAATTTGGTTATTTAAAATACTTACTTATTTCATTTAGGTATTTTTTGAAATTGGTTGTTTTGACTTTTCTTCTCCACAGAGTTATAGTGAATGGTTGCATGGATTTGAAAAGAGGGCAAAAGAATGTGTGGCTGGAACTTCAGGTTCAGAAGAGGTTAAGGTTAGTTCATGAAGTGAAGTATTTATATTTTAAAGAAACATAGAAAAAAGAAGTAAATCAGAATTTGTCTTTATAAGCTTGGGAAAGATAAAGGCTATATTATGAGTAGAATAGTGATCTTTTCAGAAAGTATAAGAAGGTGGTTTCATTTTTGTGTACATTTTGGTGGAAATGGTATTAAGTCTTCCCTGTGTTTGATTTGTGTACAAAGCTGATGTTTCTCGTTTAACTCTGTTATCTTAGTCATTTCTAAAACTGAATATTTAACTGTCCGTTGCTCTCTTTTTAGCTTGGGTTTAGAAAGTAAAGATCAGTTGATAGGTAGAAACTGACTGGTTTGCTAATGTATTCCCAAATACATTACTTAAGAGTATTCAGAGCCTAGATGTATTTTTATCCTTGACTACTGAAATTTGGGAGATTAACTTTTTTTGTCTCTCAAGTGGCATGAATAAAATTTCTTTCCCATGGCATTGTGATCTTACTTCACATGTGGATCTGCTTTGATTTACTGTCTCACTAAAGAGTGACAAGCCTATTTATTACAAAATTGTGTGATATATTTTGTATTAAACAGACTCTAAGAGTTTTATTAGGAAAATCAAATGACCATAAAAAAGGTAATTAAACTTCATTGTTACTTAAGAAGATTGAAATGTAGTAATTAATAATAAAACAGAAACCGTTTGTATAATATACCATTAAGTACTGAAACAAATTTGAAGCACAAAACTTTCTGGTAAAACTAAACTAGAGAATTTTTCTTTATTTTATTTGCAGGTTTTAGAGCACAAGTTGAAAGAAGCTGATGAAATGCACACATTGTTACAGCTAGAGTGTGAAAAATACAAATCCGTCCTTGCAGAAACAGTAGGAAATGATTTTTAACCTACATTTTAAAATAATTATTAACATTACTTAGTTGCTTAAATAGTTTATCTTGGTATTAGAACATGAAGTTTTCAGAACAACTATACTTTTGTTTATAGGAAGGAATTTTACAGAAACTACAGAGAAGTGTGGAGCAAGAAGAGAATAAATGGAAAGTTAAGGTCGATGAATCACAAAAGACTATTAAACAGGTATTTAAAAACGAAGAGCTTAGGGGAAAAAAAATAAAAGGGATGTGTGAACGATTTAAAAAAAAAAAAAAAAGCTTAGAGTAGTGGTTCTCACAGTGTGGGCCCTGGACGCGCAGCGTTAGCGTCACGTGGGAACTTGTTAGAGACGCACATTGTTTGGGCCCCCCCAAGGCTTACCGAATGTGAAGCTGTGGGGTTAGCAGTCTGTGTTTTAAAGAGCCCCCCGAATGATTCTGATGCCCACTGACGCTTGAGACTCACTGGTTTAGGGTACGACTAAAGAGTAATGATACAGAGTGCAGAGTGCTTTGGAAGTTAAAGAACCACAATGTGATAGCAGAAGGCAAAGAATTTGGTGTTCACAATAAGTTTTAAAACACAGGTATGTGACTCATGATATAGTATTCAAGAAAAAGTAAGTCCTTCTTCTGTTCACGGGACTTGAATATTATTTTGTAGTCTTAGTTTTTCTTCTGTTTACAGTTGTCCCTCCATATCCATCAAGGAATTAGTTCCAGGAGTCTCCACAGATACCAAAATCTGGTATCTTGGATGCTCATATAGAATGGCGTAGTAGTACTTGGGTGTGGTAAAGAGTGCCATCTCTTGCTCACTTGTTTTCCTGGGCTGACCTATGCAGAATCTGGGGTTGCTGATGGTATTCTATATTAATGCATTTGGGGATTAAGTACAGCTGATTATTGTTAATTACAGTTAATTAACAATTAACTGGACCTAATATAATACCATGCAAATGGGGTAGGTTTTGACCACAGTTTAAATCAAGTTAAATGTGACACTCTAATTTTTAAGATCTTTTAAAATTCAGTTATGGCTTTAAGTGAGATACATAAAAAAACCCTCTGAAGTGTCTAATTGATTAAAATTCTACAAGATAGAAAAGCCTCTGTATCCTTGGTGGTTTAACTTGGTCATGTAATTATTTCACATTTCAGATGCAATTGTCATTCACATCTTCGGAGCAAGAGCTAGAGCGATTAAGAAGAGAAAATAAAGATATTGAAAATGTATGTTATCTCACCATTTGACTTGTAACCTATGGACTCATTTTTTAGCATTAAGGATTGTCTTACAAGCTGTGTTTTAAGATTTCTTTTGTCTTATGATGTGGTTGTTACGCCTTTAAGAATATCTTGAGTAGTGTTTCAGATGGTATAGTTTTATATTCTTAAGTGTCATAACTTTTCATTGTAGGGAAGCCTCTTAAATATGGCTCTTAACTTTTCCTTCTTTGTTGCACTGCTAGCTGAGAAGAGAACAAGAGCATTTGGAAATGGAGCTAGAGAAGGCAGAAATGGAACGATCTACCTATGTTACAGAAGTCAGAGAGGTACTTATGATAGAATTTTTTTCAACCTTCTCAATTTAAGTTAAATTTATAACAGTGATAAAATATTTCAGTGTAAGTTGTTTCTGGCAGAGCTTCCAAGTAGCATACAAACATGGGATATCATAAGGAAATCAATCTTAAACTCTAAACTTCATTGCAGCTGAAAGATCTGTTGACTGAATTGCAGAAAAAACTTGATGATTCATATTCTGAAGCAGTAAGACAGAATGAAGAGCTAAATTTGGTAAGAAGCTTGTTCTCCACGGGGTATCAAGTAGGCTCTGAAAACACTTGTGTTGACATGTGGAGAAACCATCCAGACTTCTTCTCCTTGCTAACACCTTTAGCTTGGCATTTTTATAAGTTTAAGATAATCTTCATATTCTGATGACTCAAGATGGTCTGTCTTTTCTTGATTCCTAAGATGATCCTTCTTTTCTTAGCTCCTAACAATGGCATGTTTGGCTTGCAACTCTTTTTCAGAATTTTCTGTGTTTTATAAAACCAAATTTCTTCAACAGCATTATTTTCAGTGAATAAAGAAATGAAACAAACAGACAAAGATTGGCTGAGTTGCAAAGATTCTCTTCTCAGAGTTAGCATAGTTAACTGAGCCTCTTATTTTCTAACCTGGAAGGAGATTATTGAAGGTGGAAGATACATATTCTTCGTTCAAGGGCAACGATCCAATGTAGCTTCTTATTTTAACTGGCCTTTCTACACATTATAGATAACAAAAAGCTTGTGGAATTCTTTATCATCGTCTTATCATTCAGAGCATAATAATCCGAAAACTACAGACTCAAAGTTAGTTAAATGTTGTATAAAGACAGAGTACCCTGTATTCCCATTCTTAAATTTTCTGAAAATTTACACTGAGGCAGGCTTGTTTTTTTAAATAAACATGACTATCTTATTGTATGTTTGAAACAGTAATCATTATGTCTATCTGTGACTTTTAAAACTTAAGAATATGATTAGATTTTTAAAAAGTACTTGAATGGGGCTTCCCTGGTGGTGCAGTGGTTGAGAGTCCGCCTGCTGATGCAGGGGACATGGGTTCGTGCCCCGGTCCGGGAAGATCGCACATGCCGCGGAGCGGCTAGGCCTGTGAGCCATGGCCGCTGAGCCTGCGTGTCCGGAACCTGTGCTCCGCAACGGGAGAGGCCACAACAGTGAGAGGCCCGCATACTGCAAAAAAAAAAAAAAGTACTTGAATGAACTCTAGTACAATTGCAGTAAGACAGTTTTCTCCTTACTATAAGTTAACGCTGCCAAGTTTGGGATTTTCTTTTTAGTACTGCTGTATGTACCAAAGAAAATTTCTTAACTCATTCATGTTAAGCAGTGTTACAGCAGTGATTTATGGGAATCAATTTTCAGAGTAGAGCTCTCTATGAAATGTACACAGAGTCCGCACCCCGACACACACACACACACACACACACACGCCCCTTTCTATTTTTGAAATAAAATTTACCTTTATTTTACCTTAATTGAATCATTCCCACTGCAGTGTGGGAATGATTCAATTAAGGTTTTATGCATACGTTTGCTATACATTGCACAGATTGGTACTGTGATATGCAACAGCTTTAAGTGATATGCTTATCCTGTAATGTGGTTTTTTTTGTTTTTTTTTTTGTGGTACGTGGGCCTCTCACTGTTGTGGCCTCTCCCGTTGCGGAGCACAGGCTCCGGATGCGCAGGCTAAGCGGCCATGGCTCACGGGCCCAGCCACTCCGCGGCATGTGGGATCCTCCCGGGCCGGGGCATGAACCCGTGTCCCCTGCATCGGCAGGCGGACTCTGAACCACTGCGCCACCAGGGAAGCCCCTGTAATGTGTTTTTTAAAAACCCACTTCCACCTACAGTTGTTGGAGATTTTACTTTTAACTTTGATGCTTTGTGGCTGATTCCAGTGCAGCATCAAACCCACAGGATTATGGTTGAGTCTCCATTCAGTCTGATGCTCTCTTTGTACATTTTGACCCTTTACTTCTGTCAAGAGGTCATTTTGAGTGATATTTAAAATTTTTTTGCCTTGAGTTTGCAGTCTTCATTTTAATCTTCCTGTTTGCTTTTTGCTCAGGGTAACTGTTGCCACATTTTAAGATATATTAAAATAATTTTGTTTGCTTATACATTGTGTGTTCCTGGGCCAAAGGAATAACCTCTCTGATGTGTGAAATCAGAGTTAAGTAAAGGAGCAAGAACTGAAGCATTTGGGATAAATAGAGTTCCCAAAATAAAATTTCCAAATGGAATGTCCTGCACTAATTCTCTCTACATGTTCGAAATGTCAGTGTCTTATATTTCCCCCTTTTGGGTTTCTAGAACTGTTTGGAATGCTGTGCCTGTGGGTGAGAGACATAATTAACTTGATGAGTTTAATAAGAAAAAGTTATCTTTTGTCAGTGAGTCCATTTCCCTCATTCTTATGTAATCAGAATAGTTACTAAGAGAACAGTCATTATGTATTAGCTCTAGAGTTTAATAGAGCTTTATAACTGTTGCAACAAGTTGGTTGAGATGTATATATTAAGACATGCCTTGTTGGTATAGTTAGGCCAGTGTGGTCTTGCACTTATCTTTCTAGTGACATCTTAAAGGATGAGTGACATTTAAATTTTTGAAGATTTCATTTTACTGGATTTGTAATCTTCTGTTCAATGTTTTTATTAAAAATATTACACAATTGATTCTTCTTAACTGAACTATATAGGTTAAGAAAGCCTTTAAACATTTAAAAACTAGTAAAATTTCTTATGACTTGCCTTTTAATTTGAAATAAATGTGAATGAACTGCCCTATGAATAGTGAATAGTAATACTTAAAAAAAAAATAATCTACTGGAATTTGATGGTTTTGTTTTTACATTTGCAGTTTTCTACTCTCAACTCTAGTTGGTTTTGTAGCTTTTCTTATGTTTAGCTTTACAGATTGGAACCTCCACTTCTTAGCTTTTCTGTACATCTGGTGCAGCATATTGGCTAATCCACTGTGCATAATAACTGTTAGCGAGCCCATTCTTTCTCATTCATTCTTCAGTCCTAGAGGTCTCAGCATAATCAAAGAAGGAATCAAAGAAGGATGTGAATTAATTGTGGTGTTCCTGTATTTTTACAGTTAAAGAAGCAGTTAAATGAAACACTTGCAAAACTTAGAACTGAACAAAGTGAAAGACAGAAGGTAGCTGGTGACTTGCATAAGGTAAGACACTGCTTGTCCTGAAGATGCCATATCATCATATTATGTTGTACCTTGAATCTTAAGCAGACATACTGCTAACCCTGGATTCATTCTTTCACATCATTACATTAATTTGTTTATAAATTTAAGCTGTTTGTTATACAGTTACATATTTGGATCTAGACTTTTTGGCTTGTTTTTCCATTCTTAATTCGCTTCTTCATTTCATCATATTTATATAATTAATTGCTTTGTAAAGTGTAGATTAAATTTTGAATTCAGTTGATGTGACTCTTAAAATTGGTTACATCTATATATTTTTTATTGGGATTTGCTTATATAGTCATTTACAAAGTATGTTTCTTTTGATCTTCATGAATGTGAAAGAAGTATATATAGACCTCTGATGTTTCAGAAATTCGTCCCTTTATTTCTTTGTAGAAATATGTTTTTCTTAATCTCACATGTAGATGGGTGATTTTTAGGATTACATTTTTTATTCTTTGCGTTAGGTTGACAAGTTATTTGTAATTCTGTTTTGAGTTTTTTTTTTTTTTTTTGTGGTACGCGGGCCTCTCACTGTTGTGGCCTCTCCTGTTGCGGAGCACAGGCTCCGGACGCGCAGGCTCAGCAGCCATGGCTCACGGGCCCAGCCACTCCGCGGCATGTGGGGTCTTCCTGGACCGGGGCACGAACCTGTGTCCCCTGCATCGACAGGCGGACTCCCAAACACTGCGCCACCAGGGAAGCCCCTGTTTTGAGATTTTTAATAGTGTAATTCATAAATGCTTTTATCAGAGCTGCTTTAGAGCTAAGATTGTTTATAGCAGATCTAGTCATTAGCAAAACAATTAAATTTGCCACTCTTTTAAAGGTTGAAAGAAATATTTGTTGGTTCTGTATGATTATATCATAATTGTTATGCAAAAGTCTAGGAATCTAGAGTTGCTTCAGATTACTTTGATGTTGTCACCAGTAGATAAAATGTGAACTTAAGAAGTTTCATTAGGTTTGAATCCTACTGCTGCCACTTCTGAGCTGTGTGACCATGGGGCAATTATTTGCTCTTTGCAAGTCTCAAGTTTATCTTCTATAAAATGGCATTTACAAGAGCTGTTTTGTGAATGAAAATAAATTAAGAATGTGAATTATTAAAAAAAAAGTTTCAGAACTCTGACTTAGATATATGATACATTGTCAGGATTGAGCAATCTGATTTATATTTTGATAACGTGAATGTTTGATCACTGGACAAAATATAAAACTTGCAGTTTTAGCCTAGCAGTTTGTTTTCTCAAGAGGTACTTTAAGGATATTAAACAGGTGCTCAAAGATATGGATATGCCGTGTTATTTGGCATAAAATGTCAACAGTAGTTGAAAGTGAACTGTACCATATCTATGTAATAGAAATACTGTGCAACTCTGAATTGGAAATGCACATAAATATTTATTGACATGTAAAAAGAAAATGCTTCGTCAAACAGCATGTATGTTAAAAGCCCATTTATAGAACATTTTCTACCAATTTTCTGTTAGGACATATATGCACTAAAGAGGGATCTAGACTAGGAGTCAGCAAACTCACAAACTGTTTTAGGATTTGTGGGCCACCTATAGTTTCTTTCATATACTCTGTTTTTTTGTCTAGCACGACTCTTTAAAAATGTAAAAACCAATCTTAGCTTGTGAGCTCTACAAAAACAGGCTGTGTGTGGCTAGATTTGGCTGACCTCTGATCTAGACTAATGTTAACCTAAATATCACTGTGCTTATTTCTGCTTTTTATTTCTTTATACATTTTCTGCATTGTTTGAACTTTTTAAAATGGTGAGCGTGTGCTTTTATAATCTGGTGGGGGAGAAAGCTATTTGATTTGGGGGAAAAAACGGAACAGGTTGGCTTTACATTGTATTTTGAGAAGAGCTTTAGTTTTGTACAAAATATAATGAGTGTAAGAAAATCACTCATATTTTTTCTTGTATATATTTATTTATCAGTTGTATTATTCAGAGACTCCATATTGCTTTCCTCACAGGCTCAACAGTCACTGGATCTTATCCAGTCAAAAATAATAAAAGCTGCTGGAGACACTACTGTTATTGAGAATAGTGATGTTTCCCCAGAAACGGTATGCATTTTCTTTAGCTCCAAATCTCTGCGCTGATTACCTTGTAAATTATGTGAAGAATAAAAAATGTACAGGGTCCATTTCTACCTAAAAAAAATGCCTTTTTAATGTGCTTCTATCAATTATGTTGCATTCTTAACTCAAGGTTATTTTTTCTTTGAGGTATCTTATCTGAAATGCAGTGTTCTTATTAATGTTTGTTTTCACTTTAGCTTGGTGAGACATTATTATGTTAATGTTTAGGTTTGTGGTGGAAGGTATTATGGTGTACTGCTTAAGAATGTAGACTCTGCTGCTTGTGTTGAATCCTGGTTCTATTCAGTAGCTGTGTGACTGACTTAGGGGAAACTTTTTATCCTCTCTGTGCTTTAGTTGCTCCATCTGTAAAAGGCAATGATATTAGTACCTATCTTGTAGGATTGTTGAAGGGAATAAATGAATTACTATATAAAACACTTAGAATAGTGGGTAACACTTAAAACAGTGCTTCAGGTTTAGTAAGAGCTCAATATATGTTAACTGTTATTTTTCTGTTGTTATGAATGTACTCTCCTTTGGTTCCTTGCAATTTTTTTTCTGAAAGGAGAAATGGATTTATATCTGATATTCATCGATTCTAGATTTTTCCCTTTGTAACCTAGTGACAACATTTATAACATAACTTTCTTTGATGTAAACTAATTTGCATGCTAGGTTAGCAAACCCTATTGCGCTATGTGGTTTTTATTGTCAGTTTTCATATCATCTTTCAGATTTTTTTGTTTGTGTTTAAAACAGCAATAAACTATTTTTGGTTTTGGTTGCAAATGCCTTTTTCTTGTGCTCAGCGTTTTTCATCTCTTCCGTCTTCTTTTTAGGAGTCTTCTGAGAAGGAGACAATGTCTGTAAGTCTAAATCAGACTGTAACACAGTTACAGCAGTTACTTCAGGCAGTAAACCAACAGCTCACAAAGGAGAAAGAACACTATCAGGTATTAGGTAAGAATAACTGAAGTATTATTGTCTGTCTATAGATAATTGACATACTGTGTGTGTGAATGTATGTATAGTGTGTACTTACTTTAAATATAGGAACTCTTGTTACCCTAGTGGAAATATTCCCTCTTTATCTCTCTCAGAACCTCCAAATGACAGCTTTATAGCTTTCTTGGAGTTTTATTTCCATCTTGTACATATTTTTTGGTCTTGTAGCTTGGAGGAGAAAAAAACATACCTTATCTTTTTTTTTTTTTTTAATATGTAAGTTTCATGAGTATAGCATTATACATGTGTACACTGCAAGGTGATCACCACCACAAGACTAGTTACCATCTATAACCATACAGTTGACTTCCTTTTCCCATTTTGTCCACCCTCCAACTCCCTTCCCCTCTGGTAACTACTCAGCTGTTCTCTTTTATGAGTTTGTTTTTGTTTTGTCTGTTTGTTTTATTTTAGATTCCACATATGAGTGAAATCATATTGTCTTTCTCCATCTGACTTATTTAGCATAATACCTCCAAGTTCTAACCATGTTGTTGCAAATGGCAGGATTTCCTTCTTTTTTATGGCTAAGTAGTTCACTGCGTGTGTGTGTGTGTGTGTGTGTGTGTGTGTACGCATATATACCACATCTTCTCTATCCACTCATTCATTGGTGGACACTTAGGTTGTTTCCATATCTTGACTATTGTGAATAATGCTGCAGTGAACATATCTTTTCCAATTAGTGTTTTCATGTAAAAACCCTTTTTCTTTGCCTCTTTTGACCTTTTTACAGAACAGACTCATAACTTGTTTACCTAGGTTTTGTTCATTGCCATAATGTCTGCAACTGTTTCTTTAGTTTATCCTGATCTTAGTTCTGGCAAAATATCTGTGTGATTTTTTTTTTTTTTAATGACTTGGTAAAATAAAGTGACTATAATGTTTTTACTGAGGTAAGATGCTGAACTGAAAATCAAGTCGTCACAGTTTCTTTACATTGGAAGCTGGATTTTATTTAAGTTTGCTGTGGGTAATCAAAGAAATCCATTTTTTAACTCCTGAAGTGAGAGTCTTAACTGAAGATAAACAAACCAAGCTATAAAATTTTATTGACCGTATTACCTGGAAATGCATGTTGATTGATTTGATTCCTGGGTTTTACCTGTTTCAAGAATGACTTAAGTCACAATGCTTTGGGTAATTAGGGTGTTCTGATATGCACTGAATACTTTAGATATTCTTCTTTTGAAGCTGTTTGTTCTATACTAATCGTGGTGTCCTGGACATGAGTAGGGTGGCCTGTACAATGCCAGGGGGCAACTCATCACTTAATTGTCCCTTTCAGAACCCAAACTTAAGACCCTTAGGTTATACAAAGGCCTCAGGATAGGTTAGGTGCTCTGGAAAAGTTGGTATGGACCTCCATCTTGATCACAGGGGCATTCTGTCTCACTTTTGTAGAATGATTGTCCTCTGGCCTGTCTTAGCATACACTCTCCTTTAAAATGCTATTTCAGGTGAGTTACCTCTAAGAAGACTTTTCAAATAAACCCAACTCATTCTTATAACCTGTCAGCAAAAAGAATTATACCTTAATCTTTTATCCTTGGTAACCTGATCTCTCAGTTGCCTAGAGTAAAATTTCTGCCACCTGACCACTCTTCCCCAAACTAGAAAATAACCTCGTTTCCTGCTTCCCAGGGCAACTTTCCTTCCCACATCTTCAGTCCTGCTTCAGTCCTGAAGTCCACATCTTCAGTCCTCTCCACTCACTGCTTCTGTT